TATATATATATATATATATAAGCTTAACCCGCTTCTATTCCTAGCTATTTCCATTGCATCTCTTATTTGCATTTTTCCAGTTTTTCCACGATCCTCTCATATATGACATACCACGAAGTAATATCTACTAAATTGAGACAGTATTTTCGTTGACACGTTTACATTTGACGACAATCTTAAATGCTTTATTTAATCTTTTATAAGTGTGACTTCCCTTTTAATTTTTTTAATGTTTTCGTAATGCATGACAATAATATTTATTTTGCAAATCGCAATTTAGTTAAGTTACTAACAATATAACAAAATGAAACAATCTAGTAATATATACTTAATAATATCCATGCATCGTTCAATAAGATGCAACTAATCAAATTAAAATTGATAAATTTAAATTATATTTTCTAATCTATTAGCTAAAACGCATGTGTATATACAGAAATTAATAAAGATATACATAAAAAAATGTGTAATTACAAAAATAATATAACGTTAGAGGAAATGGAATAGAAAATATAAGAAATATAAAAGAATTCTGTTTGTTTTAGCAATTGCAATTTAAACATTTCAATTAGCAAATATAATTTATGTTATCATATGTTACACGTTACAGTGTTTTTTTATAACTTGACAACATAAATGCAATTTAAATATTGAATATGAATTATCAAATATATTTATGTTACGATATCTACACACAGAAAGATATATACTGTACGTAATAATAATTATTTGTTTCAAGTATTTCAAATACCCACAAATCTATACGTTCATCACAAGCATCAAATACATTCAAAATATATTCCAAAAAAATCCTAGTAAGTTTAATACTTCAATTAAGATTATTAAATTAAAACAAATTCGATTCGGTTATTACATAAAGTCGCTTTTTCGATCAATTTTATAATATTCTTCAAAAGAAAGTAATTCTTTGAGCACATAATAATAATGAATTTTTCCAAATTTATAATAAGTATATTTTTTATGATTATTATCAAGAAAATTGTCTTTATTAAAGATTACTGAATAATAAGGGAGAGAGTAATTGAGTGATTACTTTTCTTAGCAATAGAATGATACCTCTCTATATGTACAAATCACGCAGGTACGCACGTTGTCAGAGTTAAATTGTAGCATAGAAATGCTTCTACGCAATAATACACAATGTGTTATTTAATTCACGCAGTACGTTAACATAAATCTTTGTTTCTTCTTATAGCCACGGTAACAATTCGCATTACAGATCGTACTCCCCGTCCCCGTTTTTGTTTCTCATCATTCTCAGCTTTCTTCTTGTTCTTTATTAATGTTAGGAGTGCCGGCGGTGTACTACCACGGAACAGGAAGTGAGAATGCAGGCCGCGCGTATACAGAGGCGCCGATGCAACACGTCCAACGCAATGCACTCCGGAAGAAATGTATGAAGTCGACATTCACTTTGCTCGAAATACGCACTTCGAAACACCTCCTTCTCTTTCTTCGTTTGTCTATCTGTCTTTTACATACGTACCTTTTTTCACCATCACTCGTTTCTCTTTCTCTTTCTCTTACTCTCTTTCTCTCTCCCTTTCTCTCTGTATCTTTTTCACCTTCTTTCTATCTCTATCTGCAGAAATCCCCTATGCGCGATCTTTCGAAGTACAACCATTTCTTGAGAATTCTTCCTGAATCGTCCCACCTCGTTTATCGCGTTTCGTTCGTTTCTGCCTTCGTCTATTCCGTACGGAAAATGCATATTAATACCGAAGTGCATTTCGATGCATCGAGTGCTACTCTAGGGAGTCTCTCGCACTGAAGTTTCGACGGCGATCGATACCCCTAGGTTCCATTATTGCCACAGCCAGCCGATGCATCCGAATCGAAACCGTAGTCGTGGCAGTAAACGCCAACGCGGTTTCGAGCATCCTCGCCCGATGGAGAAAGCTGATACCAACGATACGAGCAAGAGCTTTCTAAGTGCCTAGAGAAAAACACCTGTCACACTTTTCGGCGATGTATGGCGCTTCCGTTATTTCCAACGTTGTTTCCTTACACGCGCGAACTCATCCGTCGAATGTAATTTTTCGCGATAGAAGAACCACGGTGTTTGTATATATACACCAATGTTTAAGAGCTACTTTTCACCCTTGAATGTGTCAAAGACGAGAGGCAGAAGACACGTGTACACTCGAGGATTGTCAACATCCTCGGACGAAACTCGAAAACAAGAGAGACGATTGACAAAGCAACACATTCAGAAAAATTACTTTTTTGCGTCTGTTCTCTCTTCAATCGTCCATCTGGCGCGTCATCATTTCTCTGTTCTATATTCTTTTCTTTTTTTTTCCTTTTACATATATGCATATATAATATATGTATATTTTATATATATACATATTAGCTTTTAGACTATTGTCGAGTGATAGTCAACGAAAATGAATAGCAGCAGCATATATCTACGTGTGTTTCAAGTATGGCGCAGTTGTGACCGAAGTTTTATGTTTCAGTGGATCTAACCAATGGACAACTCACCCCAAACAACAACACGCCCTTACTTACACAAGCACTTTCTGGTACGTTTTAAAAGTTTTTCTTCTCCTTCACTGCGAATGTAATGCGCTTTCTCAACTCGCTTCGTCGCGTCGCGATCGATTCGCTCAGAAATGCAAACAATTTCGGCTATGATGGCTTTTTCGTTAACTAGTCACGCGAGATTGCAAGCAGTAAGGATTGTGCGCAATATCTTTGAGAGAATACTCACGGTCGCATGAACGGAATATTGCGGTATAAAACATTAAATGCAATATTACGTTCGAATCAATCATTGCTTTTGCCATCTCATTTTAATATATCCAGTATTTTGATGCGATATTTTCTCAAACTCAATTCTACTTCTAAGTATGGAAATGGATAATTTTGCGAAACGTTATCCTTTAAAATTTCAAATTTTACCATTTCATGTTAATTCTCAAGAATCAATCTCCATTTAGTGAAATAATAACAGTCGGAGAAAGATTTCGATCGGTTAATGTCTGTAATTTCAGAAGACGATTACGATTCGTGTACGCGAACAACTGAAAGCATGGCTACTGTGCATGATTGATATCATTACTGTGCATGACTATTATACGTAGAAATATTTTATTAACTACCGCATTATATATACTCGTATGTATATATATATATATGTATATATATATACATATAAATCTTAACCAAAGGAAACTATCGTAGGAAGTCAATAACGTCGTTCGTGATGTTATTCTCGGAATATCAATAAAGTAAGTGAGATCTTGTCGCTTATTCTGCCAGATAATAAAAGCAGAGACGAATAATTTTTCAGTTTAACGAAAACTTCCTGTTTCTTTATACACCTTCCTTCATCTCGTTATAAAATAACGTCATTTCCTAAAGAAAAATATTATTGAATCCTAAACAGACACCGTCTCATTACTTTTCATCTCTCTGTTATCACGCGATTATCACTTCCTGTCGATTCGAGCTAGGAGATGAGAGGCGGGAGAATGGAAGGAAAAGAAGCGATCAAGCGGCATGCAGGCATTCCTGAAGAGAAGCTCCACACATGCGAAGGCGCCGGGATGCCGGCAGCGAAATACGCCTCTATAGTTTTTCTATTCTTTTTTTTTTGTCGTACTCCCCATCTAGAATCTGCCCCCGATCTGCCCGCCGTCGCGTCGTGCCGTCCGCAATCTTCTCTCAAATAAATCAAACTTTTGAATCGCGCTCGTTCCTCCTCCGACCCCTGCGATCCCTACGCGCCTTCCTCTCGCTATGGTACCAGCACAAAACTTTGTAACCGGCCACCATTGTCAAGAGTTTAAAAGCTGAATGGGTTTTTAGATTATACGCCGCGCTGGGGCGCGTTTTCGGTTTCCCGTGGCCCCGTGCG